GCTGATGACAGCCCAATATCCGCTAAAGATTTGCACATCGTATTTAAGGATGCCTATAGAATTTTCTCTAGTGGCTCTAAGTTTCTGACCGATTATATTGATGACTCTCTAATAAAGATGACGAAAAGGAAATTCCGTTTAATGCTCATTATCATGGCCCTCTTGATTGCTGCGCAGATGCCCTTCGACGAAAATGAGACAGATTCCATCGACTCCGGAGGTCTCCTAACCTTTGTGACCATAGTCACTGTGCTGACACTATATCTGAACACATTTAAAGGTCTGACACACAAATCATATGTCATCGCTTCCACAACTCTTTGCCTCTTTGGCAACGTTGCATTCTTCCTGCTGAAAACTTGTCGCTCCCAGATGCCATCGCGAGAATCGGTGTCCAGCCTCATTTTCAACTTCGTTACTCACGTATTTTGTCCAATAAACGGAGCCACAAACTATTTGATAAGTTTGATCTTTCTTGTCGCCTATCTCTCGCAGATCGTTACAAACAGATCCACAGCAGTGAGCGGCAAGGCCCAGGGCGAATATCTAGTTGAAGACAGTCTTACTACCATCTTTCCCATTCTTTCGAACATTTTCCTCTGGAGCCTGGTGATCTTTATTGGGACATGGCTCAAATATATGAATAGTCTACGCTTGAAAGCAGCTTTTCTCTGTCTGGGTCAGGGAGTACAGGCGCAATCGGCTTGTCATAAGGCAGTGAATGAGCAACGCCAATGGATCGAGGCAGTTGTGCCTTCTCAGGTCACCCGTGAATATTGGAAATTGAGAAAGGCAAAGGAAGAGCTCGGTTCAAAGATGTGGGTATATTGCAAGATCTTCGAAAATGTATCTATTCTGTTCGCAGACATCGTTGGTTTCACAAAGATGAGCTCAAACAAACAGGCGTGTGAGATCGTACGGCTTTTGAATGACCTGTTCAACCGGTTCGACGACCTTTGTGAGCAAACGAACTGTGAAAAGATTGGAACCCTAGGCGATTGCTATTATTGCGTTTCAGGTTGTCCCATTCCAAGATCTGACCATGCCGCCTGCTGCGTTGAGATGGGTCTAGGCATGTGTCGAATCATCAGAGCGTTTAATCGCGATTACGGAGAAGACGTTAATATGCGAGTTGGTGTACACACTGGTAGAGTTAACGCAGCCATAATTGGAAATCGGAGGTTTCGTTATGACGTCTTCTCATATGATGTGATCATCGCTAATGAAATGGAGTCGAGTGGGCAGCCGGGTCGAGTGCATATTTCAGAGACAACATTTCAGCAAATCAACCTGCTTTACAATGTGGCAAAGGCTGAGGATGTGTTAATTCGCAAAGAGGAGATGTCTGGAATAGCTGGCATGATATTGACGATGATTCCGATAAAGACTTATTTCGTAGACCAGCGTTCTTCTGTGCTCCGTCGGAAAAATGAGTGCTACGGAAAAAAACGAAGCGGATTCCGCGTAATAGGATCGCGGAACAGTTCTGACGGAGACGTTGAAAGAAAAGGTGGGGAAGAAAATGCACTAAAAGAGTCAGCTGAAGAAGATATGAGTAGGCTTGGAGAAGAGAATTTAGATTGGGAAGACGAGCTTGAAGAACAAGAAGGCCTTGTGCCGAAAAGCTCCACTGTTGAAAAGAAGAAAGCAACTAAAATATACGCCAAGGAGAACCTCTGGGATAGCGAAAAAAACGAGTTTATGCAACGTATGAAAGCTACTCGTGCTGAATTCAACCGAGATAAGCAACTTATCGAGGCCCTACAAAGTGATCCTTTTCAACAAATTAAAAAATTGTGCGATTTACCAGTTGACTCGCTTACAAACCGGTTTCTTGACCCAGAATTAGAATGGCATTATTTAATAGACACGACTGAGTGTGTAAAGCCTTCGCATGTGCACTCCATAAAGTTGGCGCCTTTACTCGACGCAGCCAACTCAGCAGTAATCATTCTCTTCCTTATAGTATACGAGTGGGCATATCAGCTTTTGATCACACCCAATTTCAGCATTTTAGAGATCTCCTTCACTTTTTTTATCGCTGTAGCTACTATAACAATCTGCTCTCTGATCTGCTGGACGTCGCTCAGATATGCCTCATCCATAAGAATGAGAACGAAACAGAAGGCCTTTCGGTGCCTCATGAATCCCATCATAAAAGAACTTATGCTAGCCGCTTTCGGCATACTTCCGAGCTTGATAGTAATGGTGAACGAAGAGGAAAGTCTTGGAGACCAGGCATTCGACAGCCAC